AAGCTAAGGCCACTAGAACCATTTGCCAGCATGCACTCCACACCGACGCTTGAACAAGCTCAGAGAGTTATATAAAGTTTTAATGATAAATTGAGGAGGCTTTAAAAATTCCTGTTTTATCACTTCATGGATGAATAGTTAGAGGATACGAACTAGAGGATGCATAGTAATCGTATGTATCCGCTTGAAATATTTGTTCCTGCTAATATCCGGGCAGCTCCTACAGGGGGTATAATTCGGAGGGATGTGTCTGGGGTGTAACGGAGGGATGCGTTTCGGTGCCCGCTGTTCACGTAGCGGTACTAAAGAAACTACAAGCTGATCCCGCAACATATTTTTGCGAAGATTACCCACAGCATCTCTCCTCTCCCCATCAGACCAGCGTTTTCTTAGCCTTTGCCCTGGTCTCATGACCGTTGCGATTGCTGCCGTTCCTCCTGCGAATATTCTCATCACATCCCACATATTAGCTAAGAGGGAATTGGGAGGGCAAGTTCACAAGGAGGAGGTTGTAAGAAGGGGACCTGTTACGGCAAGGCAACGGCTTGCCTTGAGACGACCAGGCTCGTTTGTCCCTCCCTCCGCTTCTGGACGAACCAAACTTTGCGAAATTTTGCGTGTTTCGCCCGTAGGTGTTACTGTTCGTTTAGCAAGGCGTACGCTTTGGCTGCAGCGTCACGAAATTCGGCGATTGGCTAGCGACAGAAGCATTAGGGTTGCAATGGGGGGACCGACGGTAGAGACGGCGCAGGAGGGAACCAGGGAAAAGGCGGAGGAAGCAGGGACGGAAGTTTCCCTCCCGGAAGGTCTCGTGCTGCGTGACCTAAACGAGGGTGACTATAGCAAAGGTGTGTAGGGATGCGTGTACTTGTATGAGTAGGGGCAGGCGGTTTTGTTGGGGGAAGGATTGTTGGGGCTGGGGTGGGGAGGCGGGTGGGGAGAAGTTGGGGGAAACCAGCAGGTTGGGGGGGAAACCGGCAGGTTGGGGGGGGAAACCGGCAGGTTGGGGGGGAAACCGGCAGGTTGGGGGGGGAAACCGGCAGGTTGGGGTGGAAACCGGCAGGTTGGCGGGGAAATGACAGGCGCATATGTGTATGCATGCATGTGAAAGGGTGTGTGCCTGTGTGTGTGTATTTGTGCGCGCGCCCCTGAAGTCTAGATGTATGACAGTAAAACCTAGGACAGAGCTGATGTGCATCCATTCGATACTTCGCATAACGCCACGCAAAACACCGCCTGTCGTCTGTAACTATTTGTATCCGTCGTGTCGTTAACAGTCGTTCATTGCTGTAGCCCGCCTCGAGACATTTTGCACATCACATCCCTGAATTATCCGTGGCATCTTTATTTCATGTGTACGGCATGTGTATGGCATGTGTATGGCATGTGTACGGCATGTGTATGGCATGTGTATGGCATGTGTATGGCATGTGTACGGCATGTGCATGGCAAATGCATGGCATGGCACATGCATGGCATGGCACATGCATGTCATATGCATGACAGGGTACATGGACCTCCTGTCACAACTAACAACTATCGGTACAGTAACGGAGGAGCAATTCACAGGTACGCACCTCATCCCAAATATGCCAACTACACCAATCGTACCAATGATGCCCATCTTAAATCCCACCAATTATGTTTTTTTCTTTTGCCAATATCAACTTTTTTTTTTTCCAATTATGTATCGACGGCCCCCCTCTGCCCAGCAGACCAATTCGCCCTCCTATCCCAGCGCTCCTCCTTTGACACGCCTCAAAAGTTGTATCGACGCCCTCCCCCTTCCCTGCAGACCGGTTCGCCCTCTTGTGTCAACGCTCCTCGGACTATCGCATCTTGGTGATTGAAGGTGAGGCGTGCGTTTTACTCTCTAGGCCATGCATCCTGTCTCACAAAACAGTCTTCTGAACAGTTCCGAAAGCGTTCTGTCTCAGCGCTCCTCAGACTATCGCATCGTGGTGATTGAAGGTCAGGTGCTTCAGTCTCTAGTCAATGCGGCCTTTGAGAGAGCAATCTCAAGAGCATCGTGTTCCAACGCTCAAGTTCTTGGCACGCTGCTGAGATGTATTTTGAGTCTACTCAAAATACACCTTTAAGAGCAATCTCAAGAACATCGCGTTCTAGCGCTCAAGTTCCTGGCACGCTGCTGAGATTCCCCCCTCTCCTCTCTCTCGTAAGCCTCCCTTCCCCTCTCCTCTCTTTTCTACGTGTTACCCTAAGGCGCCTCAGAACAAGTTTACTTTTTCCTCTTCTTCCTCTTCTTCCTCTCCTTTCCCCCTTTTCCCAGACATGGTGAACAAGAGAGTGGTGGGCACGGGCACTCTTCTAACAGAGCTCAAGTTCCTTCGTTCCTGCGGCAAGGTACTGTTTTGGAGTCACTTTTGAGAGTTCCCAAAAGTGATGCCAGTATAAAGGTGTGTTGGGTGGCCACGGACACTCTTCTAACAGAGCTCAAGTTCCTTCGTTCCTGCGGCAAGGTGCGAATCTCTCCCTTCCTTGGCACTTTTGAAGTCATCTTGTTGGGCTCTTAGATGTGACTCCCACCTGTGCGACAGAGTGGTGGGCACGGGCACCCATCCCTCTTCTAACAGAGCTCAAGTTCCTTTGTTTGTTAACCCATCCCTCTCGTCCCCACCCCCCCCCTCATCCCTCTCCTTTCAGGCCTTCCGTCCCTTTCCCCCTTCCTCTCACAAGTGGGGCACATAAAGGGCATAGCGCTGCACGGCAGCACGCAGCAGTTATCCATGTTTCTTCCCCCCCCATCCCTTTCCCTTTCACTCCGTGCCGCAGAGTGGTGGGGCAAGTAGAGGACATAGTGGTGCACAGCAGCATGTGGGGGAAGACCGCATGTAGAGGACATACTGATGTTTCCCCCCCTCCCCTTGTCCGCCCCCTCACATGCCCACCCCCTCAGGTGGGGCACATAGAGGACATAGTGGTGCACAGCAGCATGCGTGGGAAGCACCTGGGGCAAATGCTTTCCCCCCTGATTCCATCCTGATTTCATTCTGATTCCATTCAGCAAATCCCCCTGATTCCATTCTCTTCGTCTTCATCCCCTCTCCCCTCCCCCTTTCTCCCCTCGCAGGTGGGCCACATAGAGCACACAGTGCTGCACAGCAGCATGCATCCGCCCACACAAAGAAAACTCGGGTTCCCCCGTTCCCATCCCTCCCCCCTCCCCCGCTTCCCCCCCTCAGGTGGGGGTGCACAGCAGCATGCAGGGGAAGACCGCATGTAGAGGACATACTGATGTTTTCCCCCCTCCCCTTATCCCCCCCCCCACATGTCCCCCCCTAACATGTCCCCCCCTCAGGTGGGGCACATAGAGGACATAGTGGTGCACAGCAGCATGCGGGGGAAGCACCTGGGGCACAGGTGGGGGGAAAGGGGGGATGTGGGGAAGGGGGATGGGGGGATGGGGGGGGCGTGTGAAGGGGGGGAATCACAGCTGTATGCAGGGTTTGCTTTCTCTGCATGGACCCCTGCACACTGCCCATACCTTAGTGGATGCTGGACGCTTTCACCGTGTATTTTTTAGTCGACTCAAGGATTGAGGCGCCTCAAAAGTATGCTGCCCATATCTTAGTGGATGCTGGACGCTTCCACTGTGCTCACCGTGCTCACCTTTTGAGGCTCCTCAAAAGTCTTTTACCTTGCTCATCCTTGCACTTGTAGCAGCAGAGTGCAACCCCTTATTGCAACACTACGTCTATGCCTACACTGTTGATTGAGACACACTACCCTTATCTCTTCATACGAGTGTTCTTGTCCACGCTCTCCCCTCTTCTGAGTCGACTCAAAAGTCACCTTCTTGCACCATCCACTTCATACCAGTGTTTTCCTCCAGGCTCCCCTCTCACTTCATTGCACTTGTTACCACTACTCCACACTTATAAGAAATTCTCTTTAGTGGCACGACATTTTCAACACCCACACTGTTAAGATACTCATCTCTACACCACACCCTCCATTTCATACAAGGACTTGCCTCCACCTTACCCTCGCACCTTACATGGAGCTCCCTTACCCGCCCTTCCATTATTTCCACCTGCCAGGATTATCCAAACGCTCACCGATATCGCCAAGAAACAAGGATGTTACAAGGTAACCTTGCCGCCCTTGCTCCTGTTGGTTGTCGTCTTCGTTCTATGCCCCTTCCCGCTCTTTTACCACAATGTGTAAACACATGCAGCTCTCTCCCGCTTTCCCTCTCTTTTTCTTTCCAGGTCATTTTAGATTGTGATGAAAAGAATGTAGATTTTTACAAAAAGTGTGGCTACAGTGTTAAGAATGTAGGCATGGCACTGTACTTCTAAATATACGGTAAGAACTTGCGTCGGTGTATGTTTCCTTGATTATGGATGACATTTATTTTAAAAACTCACATTATGGATGGCAGCCAAGTGCACGGCATAAAATTACTGTGCATCACTATCACATTCCTGAACAGTGCGTGCACGCACATCAATAAGTTATTGTTATATTTCATTTATTGCTACTGCATTAGCAACAGGTATACCAAGCACTGGAATGCCTATCCTACAACAGCTTACATACACAAACTCAACTGTTGTGACTGATTCAGGTCAAGCTTGTATACAGGAGCTTCATGGCTTCTAGAGTCCAGATACGGCACTACAGCAGCTCTTATGAAAAATCACCATATAAGCTAAAACGACGCATGCTGCATCGACCATAACCGCTCTGGCCCTCAACAAGGAATGGTTGAGGGCTTATTTGGGCTATAAGTTAGGCTGTGTGCTCAAGAAACCGTCAGGGTCTTGTTAGGGGGCTTAGCTGAAAGTTAGCTGTCACTGGTGGGGTGAGTGAAAAAGGTATTACCAGGGACTTGATGAAGGCATCTCATCTTTGCCTTGCCATCAGCATCTGAAGGTGTAGTGGTTACTTGTGATGTGGCCCAAGGCTCCATGGTTGGAGGTGCTGAATAGTCATAGTCATGTTACATAGTCATAAATGCTGCTCCAGTTCAGGCGTTACGGAGCGGGGGATGTAACGAGGAAGTTTTTGTATTGCCTGTTGGAGTGTTGGAATACAATGGAGGTGGTGGGGAGGTGGTTAGATATTGGGAGGGTGCAAGGTCAGCGAGTGGGTGTGCAGAGATGTCCTTGTATGAGGTTCGTGAGTGGGAGGGTGAAAAAGCGTACGCGGAAGTGTGCACAGGTGATTCATATACACCACTTACGCGTTATAAGGCACGTCTCTGCCGTTGAAAGTTCCAGACCACGCCCCACCGAGCACGGTCGAAGCATCCCACACAGAGGAGTAGAGGAATACAGGCTTGGTGGGGTAGGGCCCCCCATTTAGCTGGTTCCTTTGAACCACCCTCTTGACTTGCCCATCAATTTGCCAGCTGTAAGGGAGAGGAGAGAGGACAGGGATAGTTGGGAAGGAAGGGGAAATTAGAAAGACGAGTAGCGACGAGTAGAAGTGGAATAAATCTGTAGAACCCCGAAATGATCAGAAATTGAGCGTGCATGATCAGAAGTGTAGAAATGTCTGTACAGAATAACGCATTCATTCTTCACTCACACTATTTGCCGGTCGTTCCAGTAAATGACGTATTCGTGGAATCCCGAGGAGCAGTCAAAACCGAGAGGAATCAGGGCCTCGTGACCACCCACGCCGTTCACGTAATAGTTGGTCTGCACGCTCATTTTATTGCGGCCCAGAAATTCAAAGTCTATCTCGTCTTGGCCTTTGCTGCCTTCTAACGAGGATAACTGGGGGGTGGGAGGAAGCGGGAGTGGGAAAAGGAGGAAAAGGCTCGGCAGGATAAGGAATGGGTTGGTAAGTGCCATCGGGTTGTGCTTTCAGGGCAAAATGTCGGCACGCAGGGTGGGGAACAATCATACGAACTAGGCAAGACATGGCGGATGTGTGTCTATCAAAAGCATAGAGCATGAGAGAAGAGAAGAGAGAAGGTACTTGGGCGGAAATAGCGGCGTGAGGGGGGAATGGAAGAGGGGTAGGAGGGGGGGGTGGCAGAAGAGGGGAGAGCTCATTTTGCTTATATCGTTTATGTTGCTTATGTCAATCATGTTGTTCAAATCGCTCATATATAGCCTTACGTAAAAGGACTGCACGAGGCCGTTCATGTCGCCAGCAGGGCATTTGATCTGGGCGCTGAAGATGCCAGATGGATATTGAACCGTCGACCTGACACGACTGCCACCTGCAACGCCAGGCGGACACAGAACAAAACAATTCGCTCAGATGAGAACATAAAAAGGAATAGGGAGGAATAGGGAGGTTTGAGGAAATTAAAAGTTATCCGTGACATGTTCAAGCTAGGAGATAAAAAGCCAAAAATGTACGGTTACTCACGGCAGCCAGTGGTGGTATCCACAACGATCGTCGCAGCGTTACCCGCCACCTTCGCAAACGTTTCGCAGTAATCAATCGCGAGCGGCTGAACCGGCGAACCCAGGACTCCCGTCGACTTCCCTGGCGCCCCGCTATCATCCCCAGGCGACTCGCTCGTCGGCTTGCGCCCCTGACCGCCTCCGCCTGCGCCGCCGCCATTTCCGCCGTCGGCCCGGTTGCGCATTTGCAGGACGATTTCTGTCGCCCATTGCATGGCGTTTCGGGTCAGCTGCCTTGCGCTGCTGCTGGTAGCTTGGATGCTGGGTGACGTCAGACACGCGCCTAGCCCCTCGGACGTGTATTTGAGCTTCCTGGCCGCACGATTGAGCTCGCCTTCCGCGATCAACGGCCGAGCTTTGTGCACCTGGAAAATGGATTTGGCTAGAATCTGGCTGCAATTTGTCTTCTTCCTGGTCCGTTGCAAGGCCGTCGTGAGGGAGGATTCGATTGTCTGGAGCTGCGTCAGCCACCTCTCCTTGTACGACACGTGGCGGTTCGCGATTACACCGCCGCCGGAGTCACGAAGACTCCCGAGCCGCGCGGTGTTGATGGCGGCGCGGGTGGTCACTTCGATCTGTAACCGCTCCTCAGGGGATATCTCGCGATCGAGTTGCTCCGGCGTTATAACGGGGATGTCATCGTATGACTTGTCTTGCACATGGGCACAGGACACTACGACTAATAACGAGGCGGAAATTATCGAGAACAACATCATTGCCGAAAACCCGCGCCTCATCCAGGAAAGCCTTTGATCCATCAGCATCAAGCCCGAACGGCAGAAAATATGACTGAAATGAGCAACTGCAACGGTCGCTACCCAGTCCTGGCTGCCAGAATATACGGTTGAAATGAGGACTGGCGTGGCACTACTAAGTCTGGTGATAATAACGAAACAACGATTCAAAGTGGCCCAGAGCGTACCAAGAATAGTGAGGGTGTAAGGGTCGCAATTGTACAAAGGCTATTCAGGGTAGGTGGCTTCTCAACAGTACAAAGGGTACTCACGGACACTCACGGTAACTAACTTTGCAACGATTCCAAGGGTACTCGGGGATTGAAAGGTCTTAACGGTTGCAAAGGTACTACTCCGCACCGCACTACAAAACCGTGCGATAGCTCTCAGGAAGGCCAACCCTGACAAGATGCAAAGTACTCTTCGGACTTCTATCGGTCCACTGAAGTGCTCTTCGGACCGCAGAACGTGCGTGGTCGGAGAACTCGTCGCGACGCGGTCGTGAATTTTGATCAAGCTGCTAACGCTGGTCGGGAGTGGTCTGAAGGAATGGGGACCAAGTCTTGAGAGATATGGGGAGGGAAGAGGCGATCCAGTTAGGTGGGACGTGGGGGCACAGGGAACGTTGACGTCCTCCCTTTTCGAAGAATTCCTTACAGCTACGGCGTCGGTAGGCACCTCCTAACAACTTTGGCACTGTTTCCGAAACGACAAGATTGACTTGCGCGGGTGAGATTGGCCGCATGCTCAGCAGCCATCGCCTCCCGTCATCTAAAGTCCGCCCACAGGTCACGAGATACGACTCGACGGTTTTTAGCTTCAGATGGTCAGCAGCGACAGCAGCGAGACAAATGACTATCCCTCCCGCACGTAACTCGTCTGATAATGTGGTGCCTTTATTGATCCTACGATAGGGCTAATTTGAAGTATTTCTTGAAGCGCCTCAAGTACGATCCTACGGATGGGGTTTAATTGTAGTTCTCCCTCGCGTCGCACTGTTGCGGCAGGTGAGTCTCAATTCTCAAAAGTGGGTCCCCTTGGCCGACAATGAGCCGCGCCACTTGAAGCGCATCGTTGATTATGGATGGATGTCCTATGCGAATGCGATGTGATGGGCGGAAGGGAACGGCGAGAATTGAGAATGCGCGCCCGCCGAGCAGTGGAGAAGGTTTCATCTACCTGGCAATGATTGATGTAGGGGGAAGCGAGCACGTCTCGATGCGCTGAATGGCTCTGGGTGTTGGTGGGTGTAAGTAAGGAAGAGCGCTAGGTAGGTAAACTATCATGATACCGAAGCGCGGATCGATGGGTCGCATATGGCTTGAGGGGGGAGCAGTGAAACGACGGCGGAGATCGGGAATGTCCGCACGAGGAGACGATCTGGGTGCGCTGATGTTATAGAAGAAGTGTTTGATTGTGTCGACTATAACCAAAACGTACTTGAGATGGGTACCGACGGCGGGCGGGAACCCCTGCAGTTGCTGCACGTGGAGGAGCCTGGGTACGCTGGACGGTCCTAAAATGATCCCCGTGCTGCAGTGAATCATGAGGCGGGAGAGCAGGAGAGGAACATGGTCGGCGTTCGTTCTGTTTCGATGGGGCCTTTGTCGTCAAACAGCTTGCGCGAGCGTGGTTAGTGCTGTGTATGTGTGACTCGTGTGACGCGAGTGTATTGATATATTCCCTGGCATGCGATCACGGCCGGCAGAAGTCGAGTTGCTGATGTTGTTGTTAGATAATGTTGATGATGTTGAGGTTCCCCCTCCAACTCCAAACCCAGCTTTCTCCTTGACGAATGTCGTGCAGAATTATCTGTTGTGGGAGAGCATTTGTTTCCCTTCCTACTCATCAAACATCGAGGCGCGTGCGACTCGCATCAGCGCCGTTGACAGCTGTTCAAATCGGGCCGCGTGCTTTACGTGCATTTCACTGGGCTGGAGTCCAGAACCTCACAATTTTGAGCACAAATAGGGCAGAACGGAGAGGAAGAAACAGCTGCACTTTCGCTAAACCCACACCCTGAGGCCATGGCTTGGAATCACGGGCAGATTTGAATTTGCCACGACCATGCAACGAGCGGGAACTCCGGCTTGGAAACGGAAAGTACAATCTTTGCTGGCAACAGCTGGAACTGTGAAATACGCAGCATGGCCTTGATTCGTTACGACATATGAATACTGTATGTTTGCGGCAAAGAATAGCACACAAGAGAAAAACTATAGCGTGTTTAATGAAAGGTCAATCCTAAAAGCAACCCAAAGCGCATGTGTTTTGCTGAATAAGCCTAATTTTGGTCCAACTTCGTTCTAATAAGGTACATAATTCTGAGAAGTACCACTTCCCGAGTCTGCCTAAAACCTGACAATTCCCAGCTATCCAATTCAGCTACAAGAATTCAGTGAGGGCTCAACGTGTTTGGTCATTCCCCGACTTGAAAAGCAAGCCAGGCCCGAAAGAGCGTTATTCCAATGTGGGTATACTAGACAGATATACAACATCACTCAAGGCAACACTCACCCCTTCAGCAACACAAATGACCATCACACAAGAAAGCGTAGGCTGATTATGCCATTGTGTCCAGTGTTGCAAAGCCGGAAGAATCATGATTTTCCAACTGGCTTCACTACACAAATATACGGAAAATTACAATCAGTAGCATAGTTCTAGAGGCAATCACTCTTCTTGTCGCCCTAGCCCTCCCCAGAGAAGGAGCTCCGGCGACACACCACCCAACAATAGAGACCCCCCATCCCCACTTCACTCGAACTCAAGAAAGCACTACTCTCCCAACAACCAGGGTTGGAGCCTGGAGGCCTTCACGTTGGCATAAATACTTTCTACACTCAATGCTACACTTCAGTGTCGCACCCTTGAAATCTACGATGCAACTACGAACTGGAAACGGCATCTCGTACTGGTGACCAAATGGAAAACCCGAGCACACCCTACTCTTCGTCACCCGATATCCTCATCGAGCTTTCTCCTGTCAGCTGGAAGTCGTTATCGCCACAGATGAACCCGCTACAAACGAAGCACCATCCCCCAAAACTACTTTCCTCACCCACACACCTCCCCCATACCGCTTTTTATACCAAAACTCCCCCGACTGCCCTGAAAATGAAACAAACACCCACCAGGTGTAGTGATTATTGGTTAGTGCTGTCCAAATGCCCCGGCCGTCACATTAACCTCCATTACCTTTCCCAGAAGCGCATCGCGTTCCCAATCCGATAGCTGAATCTCTTCAAGCGGGCCCCATATCTCGAGCGTCTTGCGGCCATTGTTGTTGTTGTTGTTGTTCTTGTTCTTGTTACTGTTGCTGCTGCTGCTGCTGCTGCTGCTGCTGCTGCTGCTGCTGTCGCTCTGCTTCTTATGCTTCTTCTTCTTCTTCGTGCTCTGCGTATCGCTCTTCTTGGGCGGAGACTTATACGTTGACTGGTCACCGGTGGGAGGTGGAGACTTTTTCTTCTTCTTGGGCGGAGACGGGGAGTTTGACTGGTTGTTATCGCTGGGCGGCGGAGATTTCTTCTTCTTGGGTTTGCCGGGATGCTTCTTCTTCGGACTGGAGTTACCGTTGGAATCACCCTTCGAACCGCCGCTGGAACCGCCACCTCCTCCGCCGCTGCTGCCGAAGTTCACCCTTGACATATACGCCGCGCCGATATACCAGTTGGACGGAACGGCGCGGTTGACAGTCAGGACGTCACCGCTGACGGCCGTCAGCCGGAACGACAGCTCCTTGCCGCCGTACTTTTTGCTCTTGGAGTACGAAGCGCCCCAATTGTGATCCATAACGTCCCACGTGCTTCCGTCGCTGACTTCCAACTTGTTGATATTTCCCGGGCCTGCGACGTTAAATACGAGCACTTGCAAATAGTACGGGTTGCCCGTGAGCATAAACGCGACGCCGCCGTTCTTCTTGCACGGCACGCGCCGCATCTGCGTCTCCAGAATCCCCGCGCCGCGCACGCCCGACAGCACCCCCCACGCAGCTTCTGACATGTCCAGGTGATGCTTCGGCGGGTTGCACACGCCGTTACCACCGGGCGGACAGCTGTTCGTGATGGTAACTGTTACCGTCTTTCCGGAGCAGACGTTCTTGCCCGGGACTGCCGGGGAACCAAGGCACTTAACTTCGAAACACGCGCCGCACGCCTTGCCGTTGTCGAAGAGAGCGTACGACGCGGCGGCCGTCATTAATCCGTACCCCGTTTGGAACATGTTGCCGTACCCGCACGCGCCTCCCATCGTTCCCGATCCGTCACGTTCGCCGTAAAAGGTGGCGAACGAGCCGTAGTAACTTCCCTGAGAAAACCCCTGTGCGTAGGCGAACCCATCGTCCCCAGCCTGCACCACCCCGCTAAGGAGATCGGTCACGTTGCCCTGGGTAACCCTATTCACCATGTTCTTCGCAGCAGACTTGAGAATATTCGTTAGGGCTGGGTTGTTCGGCGAGGACGAGCCAGCAGGCGGTTTGCGTGGCAAGGTCATACCAGCAAGGGTTCCCACTTGCGTGCTTAACGCTGCCGGCACGACGGTTTGCCCTGCGCGGAAGGCGTTTTGGGCCTTGACCGCCGGAAGCGGGCCGAGATTGGCGGGTTGATTGGAGAGCTGTAGGATGTACCGATCTGGCGTGACGCCATTGGATGACGGTGGTAGTGTTGCAGCTGTGGGGCCTGCGCGCCGAGTTTCGGGCGGCTGTTGCGATGAAGACGAGTCTGGTAGACCTAACGCTAAGACTAACCCTAGAACCAGCGCCAATCTAGCTCGGCGATTCATAATGGCCTGGCTCTCATCCACTCATGCCTTGCCTCCAAGCAGACAAAACCTAGTTAATCCTCCACGAAAGTAATCAGGAAACGAGTTCGAACGCCTTGCTGCTTGATGATGCGAACTAGAAAGAGTAAGCGCCTGCTGTAGCTACGGGACGGAGCTGAGAAAATGGCCTGGATGGGTCGGCGGTAGTGACGGCTGGGTGGGTCGCAACGGGGTCGTTGGAGGGACAGACGGAGGGCACTGAGAAAGGGCTGAGCTTGGTCGGCAGTGGGGTGGGGAAGGGGAGGGCTGGTGGGTTACGTTGCTGTTAGTGAAGAGGGAGCGCAAAGCGGACAGTAGCTCGGTTGAGCCCTTTGTCAGTGTTGTCAAATGTCGACCCGCTCATGTGATCGTTTCATGCATGATCGACCAACTGGCAGCACGAAAGTGCGAGTTGGGAATACCAAGGGCGAGAGGCAAAGTTTGTGGACCATAAGGCGTTGGTCACCGTGGCGCTAGGGTTGCGTTTTCGTGAAGTGGGAGCGCGTGTGCGAGGCCACACATGCTCGCGTTATTGCGTTGGGGTTGACGCAATAAAGAGCTGCCTGCGCAATCAGCTGGCTAAGCCTGCCACGCCTTGGGGCTTGGGCCAAAAAGATCGAGCCGCAAGGACGAAGGGGTTTTTAGTGATGGGCGGGCCTTGGTACCCCCTCCTACATTTGCGCCAGCTGCGGTGAGAAAAGAAATCATCCTCCTGGTTGCACATTGTGGGAATTGAGCTTGCTGTGCGGAGGCTTCAGTTCGGTTCAGAGGGGAGGTGTTGGATTGATTGAGGTTGCAGGGAAATGTTGAATTGGGCGATTTGAATTCGTTTCGCGATTCGAGTCTGGATTCCACGTTTGGCGCCCAGCCCTTGCATTCCTTCGCAGGGAAACTTTTTTGTTTGAATCTAGCCTGGGTTGGTGGCTAGACGCTGCTGTCCAGGGCAGGAAATACTTAGAAACGAACGCGGCCCGTTGACTGCGATGCGATGGCGAGCGCTGCGACGGCTGGGCGACCATGACCTCCTCCAATATACTGTAAACGGATACTTTTTGTCACGTGACATGACGACTCATGAAGAGTGCCCAACCCAAGCGTGGCGATTCGCTAAGCGAAGGAAAGTTTCGCGGGGGAGACAATATGAAGAATTGATGTGATTTGAGCGCTGCGCTCTCAGATGCGACACGGACTATGCCAAATCGCACCGGGTCTGTTTCAAAGAAGGTTCTGTGCAACAGAACCCACAATTCGTAAGTATCAGGCTACCACACTTCGTATAATCGTGTACTTACTCCATCTCAATGCATGTAACATTCTGAACCATCCAAATAAACGTCCCAATTGGTTAGGTACAAGAGCACGACCAATAGGACATGATCACATGAAAATTGGAAAAAAAAAAAATATCAATTCATTGTTCATACTGCGTGAGAATTTCAATTCACGTTTTCACAACTCTATATGGATATTTGATAAAACTCATTTATACAAACATACATGGTAAGACTCCTACAAGATGATTTGTTGGAATAACCGAAAGGTTATAAAGGCATTCCCGAAGATGCTCCTCTGCACTAGTACCGCATTAACTCATATAGAGCACGCGGAATCTCGAGGGTCACCCGAAGGTCAACCGTCTAAAGATAGTCAACGGTCGTGACCCTTGACGATCCAGCAACCACGCGACAGTTAACAGACTGCAACAGGGTAACTGTCGAGAATAGCAATAGTCGTGGTTACTGTAGCTATGTAATACAGTTAATAAGGGAATGTACCCCTCAGAGTACATGGCTAGATAGTTCGCTATTTAATTTCTTGTACTCCTACCTTCTAATCATCTTGTTCTCTTTCAACTATTACTCAACAAGGTCACTACAGAGACTTCACTGTCTCCTTTCAGGCTTAACACATTCTATCCTATCCACTGATCCTTTGGTTGTATCAGCATGGTATGAGAGCTAGAGTGGATTATAGGATCTGTCAAGCCCTCGTTCTTCTTAGAACAATCCTTTCATAAAGTTCAATTATCACATCCTCAGGTCTGCAACACTATGGCTCCTGAAGGGAAGGCTATTGCAGACTCGCCGGGCCCACCACCAGCAACTACTAACGCGCCATCAGCGGTGACCTCCGTCAACGCCGCTGTCGTTGAGCAGCTAGTTGCACGCATCAACGCTCTCGAAAGCCATCAGGCTATAAGCATTGATGGCTCAAGCTATGCACGTGGCGTTGCTGGACTTCCTCTCCCTGGAGAAGACCGCCGCGTCAACTCCGAGAGATCCTTCACCTTTGACAATCGTCAAGGGTCAGCTCCTGCACAAGACAACCCACAACGGTCGCAGTCAGACATCGCTTCAATGCAAACCAAATTTGTACTGACTTCAAAATTGAAGACCTCAATTCCTTTCGACGGAAAGGATTTTTACACGTGGAGTTTCGAATTCGAGCTTCTTGCGACAACCGCTCAGATCTGGATGTAGTACGACGGAAGTCTGCCTTTTCCCTCGGAAGGCACCATCCAGGAGAAGCATCAGTACTACCACGAATCATTTCTCGCGTACACCGCTCTCCTTCGGAATCTCTCACCTGAAGAACAGCTCGGCATTCGTCCGTACAAGACGGAGTGGGCTCCCGCGCACGCATCCTGGGAACACCTGCGCAACTCATACATGGCAACAGATCCAGTTACTATGAGTCGCCTGCTCAGTCAACTAACTTCGGTTAAAATGAAGCAAGGGGAGAAAGCGGGACCGTATGTTAACCGGTGCCGTAATCTGCGCGATCAAGTCAAGAAGTGCGGTGGTTCTGTCCCCGACGACTTGTTCATCTCAATGGACATTTCAGGCCTTGGCCCCGACTGGCGTCAGTGCCACTCACTCCTTCGCGCCCGAGCAACTATATCGGAGTCGGCTCTGTGCGCCACGCTTCTTTCAGAGCAGAAGGAGATCGACCTGTACAACCAGAAGAATGTCAAGCGGGAAAAATTAGCTTTCTACACAGGAGGATCCCAAGGGGAGCAACGCGGAAAGAAGGGAGCTTTCTGCAAATACTGCAAGAAGTCTGGCCACTCCATTGACCAGTGCTACAAACGTCAGGCTGCTGATGAACGGCGCAACGTCTCCAACCAGCAACCCTCAGCTCAATCCAAGCCTGCTGCCACAACCTCCACTGTGTCGCCTCCCTCGGTCGCCAGTACTTCTCAGTCCCCTGCGGTCATTTCGGCAAAGGACAAAGGGAAAGGGACGGTAAACTGCATGGCTCGCCGCAGCAGAGAGTTCCGCTACTGGGATCGGGATCGAATTTCATTCCCTTCTGACAACCCCACCCCCGTTGCGCCCAGCTCAGATAACGATCCAACGGTTTCTACCTGGTCGACTCGCCCTTCTGACATCCCTCCTGACTTCGAGCTTCCTCCTCCTACTCCGGAATCGCCGCCGAGCATTCCCGCAAGTAGATATTTCGCTCTCTCGCCGTACACCGGCGACTTCGATCGCATCATTACGCCCAAGATCGCCAACCTTGCCCGCCTGCGCCACGAGGACCTGGACACCTGGTACCTCGACAGTTGCTGCGGGCAACACATGGTGGGATCATCAAAGTTCATCAGCAACTCTCGGCGCATGCGACGACCCTGCGAAATCACCGCAGCCAACAACGGAAAAATGAAAGCACATGAGATTGGGGAGATCTACCTCGAGGCGAATGACACGAAATTTACCATTCACATCGGAGACGTCCTCGTCGCGCTAGATCTCCAATACAACCTGCTCTCGTCAGCTCAACTCATGCGATGCGGAATCGACATTCGCAGCAACCGCAACGAAAAGACCTTCGAGCTCTTTTATAATGACTCTTACATCGGAAAGGCGATCGACGACGACGGAGTCTTCGTGCTGCAGTTCTCGGCTCAGGGCACAACCGGCGATTCCCACCACACGCTGCTCCTAAAAACGACTCCCACGGAGGCGCCAACGTGGTCACATCCCGACGAGATGGACCTCGAGCGACCCGCCTCTGACGGTCTTCTGCGCTTGCGCACTATCCCGACCGCCTCGACCTCGAATCCTGCTGAGACCGGGCCTGCCGCAATGGAGGAAGACAGTGGCACGTCAGGCCCTGCAACACAACCTGCCGAGGAAAACACGCCGGCGGAAACACGCTGGACAAGCTGGGATACTTCCGGACCCGCACTTGGATCTTGGGGCGAAGTCCTGACTCCAGAAGAAGCGGCCACAAGCGGATGGGGTGCCATCGCAACGAAAGAAATTGCTGCGACTGGCCGTTGAACTCCCCCTACCCCAGCCGAGGAAGGTGGCACTGGCTGGACTCCTCCTGCCCCATCTGGGGAAGTTGGCGCAGATGTCAAAGACGCAGCGGTCGAAGAAGCAAAGACGACCGGAGACACATGGGGCGCAAGGGGAGGCTTGGGTGCTCCGGGCGAAGCGGAACAAGGGCACGCCGTAGCAGCCGGCCTTCCTCCCGCGGAAGTCGCCATCGTCGACCCGTACTGGGCAACTCGCGGCACCTGCTGGGGAGGCCCTCCTCTTCCGGATCAGTACGCCCCTGACACACCCGAACCAATGCCAGAAGAGTCAGAGGAAGAAGAGACCCTACGAATTCATGGGGGGACCAGCGGAACTACCTGAACCTACCGAGGAGCCAGAGCCGCCGGTACAAGGACCCCAAGAAATTGAAGTCATTGGAGCTGAATACAGTTACTACAGAATCCCCATGTCGGGACTCCCCGCTCGGGACTGGCCCGATCGATGCCTACTTGTCACCGGAGACCAAGCCGAAGCTGGCGATACCGACGACATCATCGGTATTCCCCGCGCGCTTCTGGAGAGAAAAGCAATTCGCGCACTCGCCGTCGAAACGGACAACGCCGCTGACACAGGACCTGAAGGGGAGGCAAACGACGAGGCAGCACGACAAAAATATTATCAGAAAACAGTCGGCTACCGTGCGGACCCAGCAACATG